GTTCGAGTCCCAGACCTGGTGACTTGCTTTCTCACTTTCCTTCTCTCTCCCTCTGTCCCTCTCTGGTCAAATTAAAATAAATGAATAAATAAATAAAGTAATTCTTTATTTTTTTTAAAAGAGAATACATTGCCTTACATCATAAAGTTCGTCTCTGCTTGAGTGAAGGTCAGGGGATGAGTATTCCAAGTCTGTGGCTCGGCTCCACCTCATCATTCAGGGCCTCAGGTTCCTTCCAGATTGTTGCTGCCGCCTTCCATCCTAGGGATGTCTGCATGGTTGAACCCAGCTTTCCATGCCTAGATAGTGGCCAAGGGAAAGGGAGGTGATATGAAGGGGGCACACTCCCGATCTGAAAGCTGCACCCAGCAGTGGTACACAGCCTTCCACTCTCTTGGCGAATACTTGGTCATGTGGCTCTACTCAACCTCCAGGACCTCAGAAATGGGACCTAACCAGGTTCCCAAGAAGAGGAGAATAGATTGTAGGGTGCACCTAGCAGTCTTACCCACAACAGCCTTTATGTTTTTATGTTTCCATCAAAATCCAAATATTTTACTGAATACCATGGGAAGTGGCCATATTTGTTGCTACAATCCTGGAAGGCTTGGTATTTTCATGAAACATCTCAGGATGGGATATTTTACAGTTGAATTCATTCACACCTAGTTTGGGGCCATCCCTTGTGTGCTAAGTTCCCTGTGAGCTCCAAGGAAAGAGCGTGGACGAGGCAGGCCGGACCAGGTAGCCAGAGCGAGGACAGGTCCAGAACCAGGTTACCGGGTCCTCTTCCCCTTAAAAAGATGCAGTCATTTGTTATCTATCCTGTAAGTGAAGTTTTCTTACCTTTTCATCTTTCTATTAAAAACATGTCATGGGACCAGCAGTTAGCATAATGGCTACATTGCGGGACTCCCATGTAGCCAGCCACGGTTCAAGTCCCGGACCTGGTGGCTTAAACTCACCCTGGCCGCGTGTGCGTGCATGCCCAAGATCCCAAGAGGAGAATGGAGGAGAAGGGATTGCACTGTGGCCATCTCCCCGGGAGTTGATTTCTCGCTTTCTGTCTCTCTGTCTATCTCTGTCTGTCTGGCGAGCACACATGCTCTATAGCAAAAACCTCTCCCCCCCCAAAAAAAATCATGTTGTAATGAGGATAGTTAGGTAGGAAAACATCAGGAAGCAGCCAGATGCCCTGAAAACCTGGGTCGCCTCAGCAAACACTCTCGGTAGTGAAATTCCATGTTTAAAATGGGTAGCAGAGCTTTCTCAGAGCCTCGAAAATTGCCAACCAAAACAATGGCCCGGAGCAGAAGGTTTGGCTCTGGGTGATGGACAGCCTTCCTTTACACGGCTTCGTGTTGGCAGGCTCATTGTCGGTCTGGACGTTTTATTTCTCAATTTGCAAACATTCATGTGTTTCAGCCTCAGGCAAAATAACATACCCTCTGTGTTATGGAAAGTCAAAATTCCCCCGCGCCATCCGGGAACTTTGTTCGACTAAATTGCACGTCAGGATTAGCATTCTTTAATCTTAAAACACTTTTTAAAAGATGGATATTTTTTGCGTTTTGCTGTATGTTTTTGGAAGATAATAAACCCATCTCGGCAGTCATTTTTCACACACGGCCCAAGTGAATCAAGCGTTCAGACAGCAGGGGTTCGCCCGGCCACCACTTGTCTCCGCCTTCTCTCATGCTGTTCTTACCGTGGCGAAGTCCTGTATCTGTCCACTTCTATCCAGCTGGAAAACGGGGTCTGCATTCCCAGCTATTTCATTGCTCAAAGGACAGTGTGGGTGTTTGCTTATCTCATCACTCAGGGAAAATGAGTATATGCCCAGAAGCCATTTCATTGTTCAGGGAAATTGTACATTAGTGACTAAGAGGGAAGTTATCTCTTGATTTACCACATGGACTTCACGGCAGAAATATAATCTCAGATCTCGTCAATAAACTGGGTTTTGTTTTTTTTTTTTTAGATATTTATTATCACCCCACATTAAACAGGATAGTGTATGTGCAAACTGCAGAGTTATCTGTAAAGCACAGCCGAGACCGTGGTTACCCTATTCAGTTCACAGTTTTCCTAAAGGGAGGTTTACCAGAAGTCAGAAAAAGATTACTGGTTACCCTGGGAAAGGCTGGGGTAGAAAAGTGGAGGAAGTGTGGCAGAATGAGGGGTGTGGTGTGTCAGGGCACAGGAAGGTGGCTGTCCCAGGAGGTCAGAGCACATTGTTAGAGGGGACAGGGCGTGGTAAGCCTCAAATGAGAGGGTGTGGTGAGCAGCCAGGGTCAAAGTCGGTGGGGCTAGGGCAGGGGGACAGCTGGGCGTGGGTGAAGGTGGCTGTGTGGAAGAGCAGTGTTGAGTCAGTAGCCTTTTATTATTATTATTATATTTGGTTTTTACTTTATTATTTTTTAAAGTCTATTTATTTCTTCTATGAGAAAGCAAGAGCGTGAGAGAGGCACTCCCAGCCGGGTCTTTATGCCATGATCAGCGCCAGGCCCAGCCAAGCCTGGCTCACAGGCGTGCAGGCCCTGCGTGCACAGGGAGGTCCTGGGCCGCGAACCGGGGACCCCTCCCATGGAACTGCTGTTCCGTCCCCTGGCCACTGGAGTTGCCTTTTAAGTAGATCCTTCTGGCTGTGGAGAAGCCAAGGTTAGAAAGACTGAGTGACTGAATAATTAAATTACATGAGGAGCCTGTCACCGTCCAAATAAACACTGGCCACAGCCAGAACCCAGGTTGAGGCTGTGAGGAAGCCCCAGGGGGAAGACTCTCAAGACTGAGGGAAGGTGGGTGATGTGGGGCGGGGAAGGGACACGTCAGGACTGCTCCCACCTAGAGCACAGTGCTGTGTGGGTGTTGGTGGCTTCCCAGAAAAGGCAGGCCAGGAGGGGTCGGGAACTGAGAGGGCAAGGCTGATCCCCGGGTGCCCGCAGCAGAGTCATCCTGAAGAAGTGATCGAGCCAGGACTTACTCTGGGCAGGAAAGGCCATGACACACTTGGGGGCCTGCTTGGCACCGATGGTGGGAACTGTTTTGACTGTTTGGCGCTGAATGACTGCTAATTCTCCGTATTGTCATTTTAGGAAACCATACCACCCTAAACTGGAAGCCTTCGTGAGTCACATGTCAAAAGGATCCGGAGCCTCTTTTGAAAGCCCCTTAAACTCCCTGCCTCTTTACCCCAATCACCCGCTGTGTGAGATGGGAGAGCTCACGCAGACAGGTACGTGCGAAGCCTTCGCATGTTCGTTCTTCCACTCACACACGGTTGAAGCAAACCAGGGGCACAACGTTTGTGGGAAGTATGTGTATGAAAAGATGTGCATAAATTCAGGAAGGTTTTGTACCGAAGTAAACTTTCACTTCTTCTTTCTTCTTTCTTCTTCTTTCAGTTTAGGGTGCATGGCGCTTGCCAGAGAACGACAGAGAGAGGGAAAATGAGAAATCACCCCCAGGGAGGCTGGCCACACCGCAATCCCGTCTCCTCCATTCTCCTCTCAGGATTTTGGGCACGCATGACATGTGCCTGGCGTGGTTTTTCAGGCTGCCAGGTCTGGGACTTGAACCACAGTCGGCCATGTGGAATCCAGTGGCCTCACACTATGCGACCTGCTGACCCTGTACTTTTAAATTTTTTTAATTAAAAATGTTGCCAGAGGGCACAAGCACTTACCAGAGAGAAAAAGCTTCCCACAGTGGGGCGTGGTGGTGCCACAGGCCTTTTTCCTCCATTCTTTCTGTTCTGTCTGGATTTGAGACACACATGCATGCCCACCTGTTACATTTTTTTTAAGACTCCTGGGTCAGGATTCGAACTGCAGTTTGGCCAGGTAAGATCCAGTTCCCTTAACCACTGAGCTACTGGGCTGCCCTGAACTTACACTTTAATTCTATTTTCCCACAAATGTTCTGAAGTCCTCTCATAATCTTGAATATGATACTATGGGGCTCAGAGGGGTACAGAAGGTCTGGCACCTCCAGAGCTCAAAATCACCAGATATCTAATTAAACTTGTAATCTCTAAAACTTAAAAATGACCTTTTTCTTCTTATTAAGACAGAATATGCTCATGAAATGAAATTAGGAAAGATGGTTAAGCAAAAGGAAGAAAAATTTAAAGCACCCATAACCCACCAAAGAAATAGACCCTTAATAGTTTCTTCCTTTGCTGTACACACACACACACACACACACACATTTTTCTAACTCCTTTTTTCACTCAACAGTAGATTGTGATCATCTTTCACTATCAAGAAATGTTTACCCATGGGACCAACAGTTGACATAATGGCTATGTCACTGGACTCCCATGTAGTGGACCACGGTTCTAGTCCCAGACCCAGTGGCTTAAACTCACACTGGCGCGTGTGCATGCGTGCCCAAGATCCCGAGAGGAAAATGGAGGAGAAGGCATTGTGGCGTGGCCATCCCCCCGAGGGGTGATTTCTCACTTTCCATGTCTCTGTCTCTCTCTGTCTTTCTAACAAACGCACGCAACCTATAGCAAAAACCTCTCCGAAAGAAAGGAAGGAAGGCAGGCAGGCAGGCAGGCAGGCAGGTTGACTGGCTCACTCATAACATCATTTGTAATGGCAGGATACAAGGTGTTTAGCCCATCCCACATTCTGAGATATTTCCAGCAAACCTCTGTAGGTTTTAATGTGCGAGATCTCAGAGAGAGTGCACGGCAGATCCCCACTGCACGTGGGGCTGGTGTGGATGAGTTCTGGCCTCACAGAAGCACAGCTTTCCCCTGCAGCCCTAAGTGAACTGTCAGTTCACCATCATAGTAGGATGGGGAATTACCTGTGGGGTCACTTCTGCTGGGACGAGAGGAACTGCTGGTCCCCCAACATGTTCCAGTTTCATTTCTTCCATCTGAGACCTCGAAGGACCTTAGTTTGGTCACCAGCCTTCAGGGAGGAGTCAGGAAGACCAGCTGGCTGTGTTCTGTTTTCCCAGGCCTTCAGCATCGCAGGACCTCAGCCTGGATGGAAGGAAGGTCTCTGTCCTGAAATTGGCCCTTCTGGGTTTGCAGGGGTTTTGGAAGTGATCCACGGGGGAAGTGTTGGGTGGCAGAGTGGGACAAATGGAAGGTGCTAGAGGAAGAGCCTTGGATAAGGGGTTGTGTTAAAAAACCTTGACATGGTGGTTAAAGTGCTGGATTACCACGTGGCCAACCATGGTTTGAGTCCCTGAACTGGTGGCTTGGGAATCACACCAGGTGTGTGTGTGTGTGTGTGTGTGCCCAGAATCCCAGGAGGAGAATGGAGGAGAAGGGATTGTGGCATGGCCTTCCCCCCTGGGGGGGGGGGAGGGATTTCTCATTTTCCCTCTCTCTGTCTCTCTTCTCTCCAGCAAGCGCATGTGCCCTATGGCAAAAAGCTAAAAAGAACAACAGCAGCAGCAGCAAAGTACAGATATCCCCCATTTATATTGCATTTCTGGAAAATTCAGTGGATGGTAATGTTATACAAAAAATGGTTTCGTGTTTATGGACACACACAATAAAAACAGAGTCAGGTTCTATGGGCCAGAGTGTTCAAACAGGTTTTTCACATGCGGGACTGTCTCGGGGTACATGCAAAGATCACACGGGGCAGAGAACATACTGTGTGCCAGGACCCCGTCCCCCTTTTCCTGCAGTAGCCCAACCCCAAACCCACCCCAAGGCGTGCACCACTCTTGCTGAGAAGTGCTGCTGAGACTGTCTGGCTGCACATAAAAGAAACCAGCTCAAGCAAAAAAAAGAAATGTATTCTAAGGATTCAGGGATGACTCCCACACTCCCAGGGCAAGAATGTGACCAGGTTCCTGGGATCAGGAATAAAACAACTGCCTTGTCCCCGCCTGTCTTGCTGGTCCCTTGTCTGAGAGCAGAGTGGCAGAGCTAGCAGGTCCAGAGATGACCTTGCCAGTCCAGGTTCTTGAGAGAGAATCCCTGAAGGTTTTCACAGGTCAGTGTCCTTCTGCTCTGGCTAAGGGGTCAGGACGACTGTGTGGAGAGCAGGGAGGGGCAGCCTCTGAATCCACAGATTGTTCTCCAAGGGGAGGCAGGGGCGCAGGTGACCTTCACACGCTTAGAGATCGTCGCTCATTCTGACCTTCTCAGTGACCTATGGTCATCAGTGTCTGAAGCAGTATGACTTTAGAAATCATTTTTTTCAGGGCCATTTGTCCCTGTCTCCTCATTCTCTACTAATGGTCACTTTTATCTTCTACTTCCAATATCATTAGCTGCTATAGCCATTTATAGCCGACATGCTTAGGGCACACACATAACTACATGATCAGCCGCGCCACCAGGGCCTGCCTGCTCTGTTCGAGATGCTTTGGCAGCTGCTGTGTAGGAGGAGTAAGATGGCCAGATGCATGAGACCCCGTCTCACCTGTCCTAAAGGAGCATGCAGGTGCAGGGGACAGCGTGCATGGAGACACCTGACTGGAATGCTGGAAGCTGGAGGGTCTTAGGGATAAGCACAGGCTTTGGAACCAGACAGACCTGGAAGATGGGGCTCACAGGACCTTCCCAACAGGGCGGGGAGTTAAGTACACAGAGAGGGCAGCGTGTCTAGCTCTGTGCCAGCCTGTGACAGGCTGTGAGTGGGTGCAGCTAAGGGGATCAGAGTCCGACGGCATGAGGGAACAGGAAGTTCTTCATTTGATCCAGGAGAGGAAGAAGGCAGCGCTAGAGCCAGGGCTGGTGTTCTCATGGCAAACAAGAGGGAACGGCAAGGACGAGTCATGGAGGTGCAGCAGAGATGGAGGGAGGCCCCATGAGCAGGGCTGGAGAGCACAGCACGGGGCTCAGACGGCCCGAGTTCCGCCTCTGCCTCTTCTTACCTATGAGTGGCTCAGGGTCTAAGTCTCTGCGTCTGTAAATAAGGAAACCGGGATGAGGACAGCAGCGTGCCTTCTCCATCGCGAGTCTGTGGGATGAAATGAGAAGGCCTGGCACTCAGCAAGCACTCCGAGTTTCACATACGTAATGTAAGAAAAGAAGGCGGGGGCCCGGCAGGTGGCGTGGTGGTTAAGGGCGCTGGACTCCCACATGGCTGACCATGGTTTGAGTCCTGGACCTGGTGGCTTGCTTTCTCACTTTCCATCTCTCTCTCTCTTTCTCACTTGGTCCCTCTCTGGTCAAAATATAAGTAAGTAAGTAAATAAATTTAAAATAAAATCTTTCTTTCTTTCTTTTTTTTTTTTGGAGAGGTTTTTGCTATAGGGCATGTGCGCTCACCAGAAAGACAGAGAGAGACAGAAAGAAGGAAATGGGCCCCCTGGGGGGATGGTCACGCCACAATCCCTTCTCCGTTCTCCTCTCGGGATATTAATCCCACACACACATGTGCCCGGCGTGAGTTTAAGTTTCAAACTGCGGTCGACTACATGGGAGTCCAGCCACATAGCCATTACGCTAACTGCTGGTCCCAAAATAAAATATTTCTTAAAAATGACTATTAAAAAAGAAAGAAAGAAAAGAAGGTGGGCTCAGGGGTGCACTGGGCCAGACGCAGCCTCTTCGTGTCCCTCCGTCGCTGGGTGGCCTCGCTTGTGCAAACTGTTCAAGAAATGTTAGCACCTGCTCCAGTGCAGGTCCCTGAGGGGAACCAGCCCTTAATACTGTGTACAGTAGAACCCAGACATCGGTCCTGATTTTTATTTTTTTAATATTTATTTAACTCCATTCGTAATTATTTTTTAATTTAACCAGAGAGAGAGAAAGGGAAAGTGAGAAAGCAAGCCAGCAGGTCCAGGACTCGAACTGCAGTTGACCATATGGGAATCCAGTGCCTTGAACCACCATGCCACCTGCCTGCCGCTCATGATTTTTATTTTAATTACCTCTAGGGTGCGTGTGCTCCCCAGAGAGAGGGAGAAAACGCTCCTTCCCCCGTGGGGCACGGTCACACTGCAGTCCCTTCTCCTCCATTTCTCCATCCTGCCGGGACTGGGGGTGGGAGCACACACACATGCATGCCTGGCATGTTTTTCAAGCCACTGAGCCAGGGTTACAAACTGCATGGCTGGATGTGGGATCTGGCTCCCTGAACACTAGGCTGTGGGCTGTCCCCACCCTTCATGTCTGTGGCTGAGCTGGTCCCCTCCCTGGGCCACACATTTCTGTCTGTCTCACATTCTCAGCCCAAGTTGTCTCGTCTGTACCGTGGAACTTCTCAAACCGTGTGGACCTCTGTGTGCTTTACACGGTCAGAGGGCTCACACCCATAGCTGAGGTTCACCCTGTCCATCTGCAGGCTGGAGCTGAGCTTGCTTTTCTCCTGGACTGCCTTCTCCTGATCAGACAGACGTTCTCATTTTTTAAAAAAGTCAATTTATGGGACCAGCACTTAACATAATGGCTATGTCGCAGAACTCGCATGTAGCCGACCGCAGTTCGAGTCTTGAACCTGTGGCTTAAACTCACGCCGGGCGCGTGTGCGTGCATGCCCAAGATCCTGAGAGGAGAACGGAGGAGAAGGGATTGCTGCATGGCCATCCCCCCTGGGAGGTGATTTCTCGCTTTCTGTCTCTCTGTCTCTGTCTTTCTGGCGAGCGCACGTGCCCTATAGCAAAAACCTCTCAAAAAAAAAAAAAAAAAAAAAAGAAGTCAATTTATTATTCTGTAGTGGCCATTCAGCGCTAAAACCGTACTACAAATCAAGTCGAGATTCTTGCTTCTGCCCGTGTTCCTCGTCTCACTTCTGTGCCCGCTGTTACCCGTCTCGCGCATGCCCTCTTCACGTAAAACACAGCAACTGTACTCCACCCTCCTAGTTTCCCCTCTTTCTTTTTATTTAAAAGGAATATAATGAACACACTATTCTACGCTTTGCTTTTCTCATCCCTTCCATCGGGGCACATAGGAGGTCGTTCCCAACGGCACAGAGCGAGTCCTTGCGGGCCAGCCTGTGGCCGCAGCCCCAGCACACTGGGCAGGGCGGCCTGGAGTAAGCGGAGCGATCCTCTTGGGCACATCATGGAAGACGGGTCAAGGAGGGACCCCCCGCCGCAGGGACACAGGAAGGGGGCGTGCAGCAAGCAGGCCGCTTTTCCTCTTTATCTGGCTGAACCCCTGGGCCGTCAGTCCCGCACTAGGAAGGCTCTCCCCAGGCTGGTGCGGGTCTCAGCTGAGCTGCCACGGCTGAGCGATCCCACCCCCCAGGCCCGGCAGTCACACCTTCCCCGGGGAAGGGCCAGTCGAGAGGAGGGCAGGGAGCCAGATGATCCTCGTGCTCCCCACAAAGGTGGTGACCGCAGAAGACAGGATCCCACCCCGCACCCTACGTGGGCACCCACAGCAGGCTCTCTTCACAAGCTGACATAAACCCATTCTCACGGCTTCCCTAAGGTGGGGAAACGGGCTCCGCGAGGTTATCTTACCCTGACTAGAACGTTCCACAGCCGGGCTCTGGCTCTACCTACCCTTGCCTCTCCTTGGGCTGAGCCGGTAGTGAGGAACCTCTGTCTCCCGTTGCAGGGGTGGTGCAGCATCTGCAGAACGGCCAGCTGCTGAGGGACATCTACCTGAAGAAGCACAGGCTCCTGCCCAGCGATTGGTCCGCGGACCAGCTGTACCTAGAGACCACCGGGAAGAGCCGGACCCTGCAGAGTGGGCTGGCCTTGCTCTACGGCTTCCTCCCAGACTTCGACTGGAAGAAGGTTTATTTCAGGCACCAGCCCAGTGCTCTCTTCTGCTCCGGGAACTGCTACTGCCCAGTGAGAAACCAGTACCTGGAGAAGGAGCAGCGACGCCAGTACCTCTTACGTTTGAAGAACAGCCAGCTGGAGAAGACCTACGGGGAGATGGCCAGGATCGTGGACGTCCCCACCAAGCAGCTCCGGGCCGCCAACCCCATCGACTCCATGCTCTGCTACTTCTGCCACAACGCCAGCTTCCCCTGCACGAGGAACGGCTGCATCGACATGGAGCACTTCAAGGTGATCAAGATGCACCAGATAGAGGACGAGCGGGAGAGGCGGGAGAAGAGGCTGTACCTGGGGTACTCGCTGCTGGGGGCCCATCCCGTTCTCAATCAGACCATCAGCCGGATGCAGCGCGCCAGCGAGGGCAGGCGAGAGGAGCTCTTCGCCCTCTACTCCGCTCACGATGTCACTCTGTCACCCATCCTCAGTGCCTTGGGCCTCTCGGAAGCCCGGTTCCCAAGGTTTGCAGCCAGGTTGATCTTTGAGCTCTGGCAAGACAGAGACAAGCCCAGCGAGCACGCCGTCCGGATTCTGTACAACGGCGTGGACGTCACATTCCACACCTCATTCTGCCAGGACCACCAAAAGCGATCTTCCAAGCCCATGTGTCCCTTTGAACACTTGGTCCACTTTGTCAAAAGGGACATGTTCGTGGCCCTGGGTAGCAGTAGTTCTAACTATTACGATGCATGTCACAGAGAGGGGGTCTAAAAGGTCCACGATTCCGCACTGTAGCATCTTTGCCAGCTCTGAGGGCTGGGAGAGGCCCGCCCCACTAGCGTTCTGTGTTGCTAGGGTATATAGAATTGTTGATGTGTAAAGGCTGCAAGTTGTGTTCGGGAGCCACAGAGTGCTTGGGCTGAACAGGAAGCAGATTGCGGTCCTCTGGTTCATACGTTACTTGGTACAAAAAGGTCAGTTGGCCAAGAAAAGGAGGTACCTATCATAGCCAGACTTTGCTAAAAATGCCAGAATCATGTGGCCGATGCGAGTTTGCATTCTCCTTGGCTGCCATGGTATTGTATGATGAAACCAGCAACCCTCACCCAACATGTTCTTAATCTCGGACAATTTTACTTAGTCCTTAACCCGTGAAGAATTTTCCCGAAGTGATTGAGCTAAAACAGAGGCTGGTAAACTTTTTCTGTCAAAGGCCAGGTAGTCAAGACGGTAGACTGAACCAAAAGGCCACACGCAGTCTCTGTCACAGCCACTCATGTCTGCCTTTGTCACCTGAAAGCGGCCACAGGCAGGACGTGGGCTGTGTCCACAGGCCCTGCAAGGGGAGTGGTGGCCATATTTGGCTCAGGCTGCAGCGTGCCGGCCCCTGGTCTACACCGCAGGCTCCACTACAGTTGCACTTCCAGCACTTTGAGAACCAGCTGAATATGGAGACTTATTCAGTGGTTCCTCCAGTGACTTCTAGAAACACAGAATTTAGTCTGTATCTGACACTAAACTCCAGAGGAAATAGACATCGCATCAGAATGGAGTGTAGAAACATGACTAGACTCACGTCTGACGTTCACGATGATTGTGGTACGAGGTAGTTTGAAGTACGTTTTAAACATTTGTCTGCTATGGTCTATTTGCTGTCTACGCTGAAATTTTTGTACCTTATTTAGTATTTTTTATAGGCTAGGGGAATATTTTCTAAGACCAGTTTTAGATGTGCTCTTATCCTGATAGAAATAGTCACTTTACCTGTTTGATGGTTAGAAGGAAGCCCGAAGCCGAATTCAGGTATTTTCTTCCCCCCCAAAAAAGAAACTAATGATGGTTCATTCCGCTTGTCAAGCTGTAGGATTGGATCAATTTTTAAATCATTTTCGTCCGAGTCAAAAGATAAATTCTGATTGATTTTTAAATACATTTTTGGAAGAACTTTGTTACTAGATAGATAAAGAGTCTTTATAAGGTATTTTGTATATTAGAAGCAATTGCCATTGAATCTGTGATTTCTGAATTCATGGTGCTCGTTCTACTCTAAGAAATGTCAAAGTGCAAGTGAGATTCTTCGGCGTGGTTGGCATTCCAGCTCTCTCTCCATTTCTGTCCCATGTTGCATTTCATTATGTCTGTTTCTTATAATAAATTTTTGAAGAATACTGCACAGCGAATTCGGTCATTCTAGTTCTTTTCAAGGGAGAACCAGTATTTTTAAAATTTATCATAACTGCTTTGTTTGTTGCTAAAAACGATGTGTTATCTCTAGACTATTTAAAGCCAAATTGAGTTTTTATTGCTCCCACTCTTGATATATCTGAATTAGAACTGCTAAATAGCCTGTAGGCTTAAAAAACCAAAGCGAATCAGAAGACTTTTTAAAAATCAATTCATGGAACCAGCAGATGGCATAATGGTTACATTGCTGGACTCCCACGTAGTTGACCACAGTCTGAGTCTCGGACCCAGCGGCTTGAAACTCACGACAGGTGTGTGTGTGTGTGTGTGTGTGTGTGTGTGTGTCTAGGCAGCTTAAAACTTACGCCAAGAGGAGGATGGAGGAGAAGAGATTGTGGCATGGCCCTCCCCCATGGGGGATGATTTCTCATTTTCTGTCTCTTTGGCATGCACATATGCCCTATAGCAAAAATCTCTCTCTCAAAAAAATTTTTTTTATTTACATTTTTAAATTTCATTTTCTTTTATACATTCAATCACATTATTTAGCTTACAAAGTGAACATTTCAACATGTGAACATTTCTCCCTTGTCCCATATCAATTTCTGTTGGTGAAAGTAAATATTTTGGCTAGGAGCCAACACTGGAAGCATAGCTGGAGGTTTTGCTTCCTAAGACATCGGATACCCCGGGCATTGAAATATCTCCCTCCAGGGAGCAGAGGTGGCATGTGGCCAAGGCTCTGGACTCCCACACTGCGATTGGAGTCTCAGACCTGGTGGCTCACTTTCTTTCTCTCTCTTTCTCTCACACACGTGCCCTATAGCAAATTTAATAATAAGAATTTAATTTTTTTAATTGCTAAAAAAAAAAAAATAAAAACCTCTTCCTTTAGATCAAGTTCTGAGACACTTCATTCCATAACAAACACTGAGCACTGAGTTAGGATGAATGGTTTCTGGGCAATGGTCTAACGTCTTAATTCATGACAGTCCTGGGTGTGCGTGTGTGTGTGTGTGTGTGTGTGTGTATATATGACTTCTTTGATGTTATGATTAAAGTTCATACATGCTCAATAGAAGATAAACATTACTGAGAAATCTCACCTCCAGAAGTAACACTGAGTGCTTGACAGCTATTTTGAAAATTCTCCACGCGGATGCAGAAATAGATGTAATTTTGAAATAGGAGGCCATCATTTGACATAGTCACGCATTGCTTCACGAGAAGTCGTGTGGCTGGGCAGTGTTGAGGTTGTGTTTGCATCACAGAGCGCACCTGCCTACACAAAGCAGGTAGCGGCGCCCGCTGCTCACCTGGGCTGGGGTCGTTGCTAGGCTGTAAGTCGGGACGGCCCGGCACTGTGACGAGTACTGCGGGCAATCGTAACATGATGGCTTAGCATTTGTGTATCTGGATATATCTGAACATAAAAAAGATACGGTAAAAAATATGATAGAAAAGATTAAAAAGCGACGGGACCAGCAGATGGCGTAATGTTGATGTTGCTGGACTCCCGTGTGTAGTTGACCACGGTTTGAGTTCCAGACTTGGTGGCTTAAAACTTACGCCGGGTGCATGTGCATGTGTGCCCAAAATCCTGAGAGGAGAATGGAGGAGAAGGGATTGTGGCATGGCCATCCCCCTTGTGGGGTGATTTCTCGCTTTCTGTCTCTGTCTCTCTCTGTCTTTCCGGTGAGCACACACGCCCTATAGCAAAAACCTCTCAATAAAAACCCCAAAACAAAACAAAACAACACAAAAACTCATACTGGGTGCATGTGCATGTGTGCCCAAAATCCTGAGAGGAGAATGGAGGAGAAGGGATTGCAGAGCTGTCTCCTCTGGGGGATTATTTCTCACTTCCTGTATCTCTGTCTCTCTAGCAAGTGCACACATCCTATAGCAAAAATCTCTCTTAAAAAAATATACAAACACATAGTACAGCTGTGTAAAAATATTTTATCTGGGCCAGCAGGTGGCATGGTGGTTAAAGCACTGGACTCCCACATAGCCCACTACAATTCAAGTCCCAAACCTGGCAGCTTTCTTTCTCATTTTCTCTCTCTCTAAAGTCAAATTTTAAAAAAAAATAATAATTAATTAAACTAAATTAAAAATTCTAAAAAGAAAAGAAAGAGAGGCATGGTTAACACAGGTTAACATGGATGCAGCTGCCACCAGAGTAACAGGGCATGCTCTTTTACAGTAAACTTTTTTTTTTTTTTGAAATTTTTGTTATAGGACATGTGAGCTCGCCAGAAGAGACAGAAAGTGAGAAATCACCCCCAGGCGGATGACCATGCTGCAATCCCTTTTTCTCCATTCTTCTCTCAGGATCTTGAGCACACATGCATATGTGCCAGGCGTGAATTTTAATCCTCCAGGTCTGGGACTTGAACTGTGGTCAACTATGTGAGAGTCCAGTGACATAACCATTACACCATCTGCTGGTCCCAAGAGTAAACATTTTTTGTAAGAGTACTCTAGTATAACAATAAAAGGTACAGTATAATACATACAGACACCAGGAGCTTAGTGACATGTTGTCACCAAGTGTTACATTCTGCATACGTTACACATGCTGTATTGTACAAGTGGCAGTTAGTTTGACCCTTGCATTTCCAAAACACCTGAGTAATGTGTTGACCTTGTTGTTAGAACAGCTATAGCAGTCACTGCGCAATAGGAATTTTTCAACCGTATTCTATTTTTTTAATTATTTTTTTAATTTTTATTATCATCATAATCTTCTTTATATTACATTGGATTACATATAACTTTTCATTTTATACCTTGTTTTTTCAAAAGGGAATGCCATGCATGTCAGTCAGTACAGAGACATTAATCTCCCCACTTCAACATTCCATATCTTTTCTGTTTTCCCCAATCCTTATTTTTATTATTCTAATTATTTTTTAAAACAGTCAATTGCTATTTCTCATTTTGCTTGTAAAAATACTTTGCCCATCATGAAATACTTCTCAGACCAATCCAGTTGAGAATACTATACATGTCATCATCAACAGTTAATAACCCCTATCTGTTTCTCACTAACGTCCTGTCTCTCTATTGTTCACTTGCTATCTTTCTCTATCCTCTTCTCTTCACTTACCCCATTCCACACTGTCCTATTCTCATTAAGTACCTTCACTGTTTTTATGTCCTCTGAATTTTTGCTCTCTATTATAACCGTATTCTATTCTTATGGGACCACCTTCTCATATGCAGTCTGTCATTGACAGAAACATTGTTATGTGGCACGATTATACTTACATCATGTAAACCCACCTTGGTAGTGATGTTATACTGTGATCATCCACTAGGAGGCAGTATCAAATATAATTTACCGTCTTTGGGGCCCAGTCTTCCACCTGTCAAGGAAGGATAGTTTGGGCTGTGTTTTAATAGGTTGACTAGCTGTCTCAGTTTGCTTAGCACTGAAAAGTTTTCCAAAATATGTCAATTTCAGTGCTTAAAAATTGGGAAAGCCAGGGCTGACAGGTGGCCTGATGTTTAAGGTGCTGGACTCCCACGTGGTCAACCACTGTTCATAGTCCTGGACCTGGAGGCTTGCTTTCTCGCTTTCCCTTTCTCCAGTCAAATTAAAAAATAATAATAACAAATGGAGTTAAATAACTTTTTACAAGCTGGAAACGCTGTAGGCGAAGTGGAATTAGGTCAGTTACTCCAGTGCTGTCTGCTGAAACAGGTTCTAGGTATTATGGCCACTCCCACTTTGCTGATGGGGTGACTTGTCTGCAGTGACACAGCTAGCTGGTCTAGCAGAGCTGGGACCCCAGCTGTGACCATTTAACTCGAAGGACTGTGTTCAGCATGATAGATGATAACGCCTCTTAAACCATAGCTCTCCGTGTTTGGTTAAACACAACAGAGACCAGATTACAACGCCTACTCTTCTTTCCTTCTAAGCAAATAAAGCCTCTCATTTTCCTCCAGTGGCTGCACAATGCCGTCAGAAACCCAGACTCCTGTTTATAGCTCACTGGCCACAGCAGGTCCCCTGGCTGCCTGCATGGCAAAGCAGTCTAGGGAAGGGAGCGTTTTGATTGGACCATTGTAGCACACCAAGCTGGCTCCTCTTGCTAAGGAAGAAAGGGAAGGTGGGTCACGGGAAGAGAACCGGCAATGACTACCCTCTCCAAAGCCACCCCTCACAGCTGAGGGCGTGGTGGATGCTGCACCCCCAGGCCCCTACTTTGGGATTCTTTCCCTCAGTGGGTGGCAGGGCTCAATCATGGGAATTTGCCCTGGTAACGAGAGCCCTGTGCCAAAGGTCATGCTTTTCTCCCATGACGGCCACATCCAATGACTGGTCAGATGAGGGACTTAAAAGCCTAGGGCAACCCGAAGGGCACCCCGCTCCGGAGTCCCACGGGGCCAGCCGAGGCCTGTATCTGCATCCCAGCCCTCGGTCACCCTGCCTCCTGTGCAGTGCTGACTAGGAGCACTCCCCAGTACTCCTTGCGTTCACAGCTGCCTCAGCATCTCTTCCCGGAAGCTGACCTGCAGCACAGGGCAAGCGAATCCTAGGGACTAAGATCTCTACTTCCTGGAGTCTTTTATAGGAACAGGAGAATGTATGTATCCATGATTACAAATTTCTCCTTGCCTTTGGGAGGCTTGCCACTTCCTGTGGAAGCTGAGGGTGTCCGCAGGAAGCAGGGGGACATTTGGTTCTGGACAGTCCAAAGCTACTTACAGAAGACTACTTATTGAACACATACCATGGGAGCACCTGAGAGCTTTGTGGTCTAGGGTGACACATCCCAGATCTCAGCTTGCCCCTGACTACAGCCTGTGTGATCCCGGGCACAAGGATGCCGCTGAGCCTCAGTTTCCCCATTTTGCAAAATGCAGATAATAAATCCCTGCTTCAAATGGCAACTCCTTCTGTGAGAAATAGACATTGTATCAGGGCCAGCAGGTGGCTTGGTGGTTAAGATGCTGGGTCCCATAGTTCAACTC